AAGAAGAAATGCGTGAGAGGGAAAAAAGCAGTGATCATAGTCGTAGTCGTTCTACTTCACTTAGTTCGTGGAGAGATGATCTACTCTTATTTCTAATATAACGCCCTAGGGCGACTAAATTATACCTATAGAGATTTAAAAATGGTTTAGAAGATCCTTGCTGGTAAAATGATCCTACGAGATTAAGACTTTTCTAATCATCAAAGTAACCTAATTAGACCACTTGATTATTAGAAAATCATGTAACTTACATAATCTCGTATGGTTATCTACTAAAGATCCCAATGTGCATTTGAAAACTTTATTTTTATTTACTCCAAGATTCTAAATTTTCAATTCACATAATTTAGGCCAGAATTAGAGTTCAATAGGGTTGCATTATTTGGGATGCAAGCTAACCGATCTCAGAATTCTATTTATTCGTAAAATACATTCGTGTGACTTACGTAAAGCCTTAAAGGAGTTGACTGATAATAACACCTCTTTAGGATGTATAATATTTCTAAATTAGGCAAAAGATTCGAAATTGTGGGTTAAAGTTTTTAATAATTTCTTTATTCAAAAAACCTTGTCTCTAAAAAAAGTTAGATCGATTTTTTAGATTTTTTTTTTTTTTGACTTTTTATATTTATCATTCGAAAATGAACTTCACAATTTGATAATTTGATAATTTGATAATTTGATACAGACGCGATACGACATTCCACATGCTCGAGATATAATGCACAATGGTTATCTAATAGAACCAATAGAACAGTATACGTGCGTACATACGTTCATACAGTACGTAATACATGCCAGCAATGTTACAATAATCATAATCCTCGAGGAAATAAACATCTATAAATAAAATTTTTTGTTTAGTAATGTTTTACGTGGCATATGACATTAGAAGGATAAACATCGTCATGTGAGTTAACAATTATTCCTAAATTATAAAAGCCTATTGTTCTAGATGGTACACAGCAAGCCATTGAGGATTAACGCGGGTAATTCGTTTCCGCATCCGGATAACAACCCTATGATCGAAAAAGGTCCTTTAATTTGATAAATGTAAGTACCGGAAAAAGAACTCCAAAAAAGCATTTTGCACCAGATCAATTACTCTATAAGATTAAATATTTATCTATATGCGCTCAAACAATGCGTGCCAAAAAAATGGCAGACTTTTAAGGCAAATTGATCTCCCATCAACTTTGGATGACGTTTTTGTGAAGAATATATCCTACGATGGACACATAACAAATCATTCTTACATATACAAACCCCATATATGTAATAATTGCCGCGTTGATCGATTTTAATACGTGCATACACCCTTGGTATTACATACACCCTTGGTATTGAGAACACAGACATTATGTAGTACTACTTAATCGGAAACTAAAGAACGGCGCATACCTCAAATTTTTCTAAAAAAGTCCATTATTGTAAGGAAAATCAAATTCAATTTTAAGAATATTTACGCCAAAAATCGATAACTATGTATCTCTTTCGGGTTTCTCGAGAAATCCTGTTTATTTTTTTTTCATCGTTACACTCAGATCTTCATGTGACAATAGTCGATTCACAAACAATTGTAATAGCTGATAAATAAAAAGGTTTGATCTGTGCATTTTCTTTGAGGCATCGTCTTTTTCCCCCTTTCATCTCCTTATTTATGTTTTCATCCTGCGTGCTGTATATAAATTAATTCATTTTATTGGTGAAAGACTGCATGCCTTCCTCTAACGAAAAAAATTATCTACGCCTTTTTTATAAATTAACTTTGCATCAGGTACCTGCGGGTGAATTTAATTTTGGTGACACGGTGACATACTTTATATACGTCAGTTATCCTTTTTCTCCGATGTTTAATTTTTTTTTTTTAAAAAAAAAAATAAAAAATAAATAAATAAATCATAAAGACTTGAGAATATCCACCTAATCTTTTATATCGCTCGTTTGCTTGCTTGGTGGTTCGACTCAACTGTTAAAAGCCCCAGCTCTGCGCCAGTTCCAGAGACCTGGTACAAAGATCAGCTGACTGGTACGCGACTTTTAGCATGAAAATCTTTTTCCCTATTTACAAATCTTAAATTTAATTGATTGCGTAAATAATAATCAGCTCCTTATCGTTATATCAATTAATTATAAATAGTCATTCTGGTTTCTCAAATGAATGATTTGTTCTCGTTCAATCTCTCCTTACCTACCGATGGAAAAACAAAAGTAAGTGTAACATACAAATCATTTTTTTAGCATATTCTCGAATTAAATTTTTTGACCGATAATACCATTAAAACACTGAAACAGATTTATAATACATTATAACAAAAGAATAGAGTATCCAGA